CTCTCTTTGGGCTAGCAGTCTCGACCTGGGAGGAGTTTAGGGTTCAGGGCTTAGTAGGGTCTTAGGGTTTCGGGCTTAGGGTTTAGAGCCATGGGTTCTCTGATGAAGGATCCACCAGTTTGGTGGATATATCGAGCAAACTCTCCAGAGAGAACCCTTGAATTGAGGTGAAGGTTTAAACTTTTGGAACCCAACGAAAAGAGGTAAACTAACCCGAAATCATCCGCAAACATTGACCTGGCGCATGGTGCCGCGCCATTGAATTTCACTCTTTTATGTTATGTCATCTATTCTCTGTTCTGGTTCCTTGACTCAGCACAACCGCATCCTGTCATTCCTTCCGCTAATGTTTTGCTTAAGTTGAAGTGCATCCAATTAGCACACCAGCGGTTTACAGATTTTGATCGAGCGAAGCAGAATCACCCGTCAGTCTTGTTTGAAGTGGTGTTAACACAATCGCGTGAATGTGTGTGTCATTTCCTTGCCTACGACCTACGATTTGTTCTTCCTAGAAACCCTTAACCTATACCTTAAACCCTGGAGATACCTCAATTTCTTTCGATAGCGCTCATTTACGTACAGGGTGGGGCCTAGTCCTAGATGCAAAACGCATGTGCAACAGACTTGGCTGGTGGTTTATCCTATTGGCCGCTAAAGTACTTATCTAAGAGTTGGTTTAAGGACTAGAAGTATGAGTACATGGACCCTGAAGGTTAGCTCGGTCGGATAGGTTTCGTTATCGTGAAGTGCTATTCCATAAATACCAGCATAAGCAAGTGTTAGCACCTCATTTTGCCGGTCTTCGTCAAAGCACCCGAGACACAAGAAGCCCACAACATAGCTTACGATATATCACTGATGAAGGGGTTTTAGGCTCTCCAGATGTGGATTCATGGACCTATGAAGGTTCTGCTGGAATCGATTTCCCCTGTGTAAATATTGAACGGAGGGGGATGCTCCCCCCTCCCCCCATAAAAACTCGGAAAGTGTTTTTTTATTTTGGTGTGTTTGCCCTCTCCTGCCACTTTTGCGGGGTGGTGCTCTTGCTCCCACGATGGCGTTTGCTCCTACTTCTACTACGTCTCTTACACCTACTCATGCTCTTACTCCCTTTTGCTCTTGCTCCTGCTCTTGCTAATGCTCCTGCTCTTGCTCTAACTCCTGCTCTTGCTTTTGCTCTTGCTCTTACTGTGCTCTAGAAGTATTTGGAGCCTCGAAACCCTCTCCCTAATTCAGAATCGGTTTTAAAGGGCAGGGATGATTTCGGGAGGATTCGCCCCAATGTGTGTTTATAATTTGGGGGGTGTTTAATAAAAGGGGGAAGCATGCAAGAAGAGTTTCGGATAGATGAGGTTTACAAAGTGTAAAAACGCACCCTACATAGATTTCTCAAGAGCCAAAATCCTAAACCTATACCCCAAGCCGTATGCTTTCAAAAGCTCAACCCTGATTCCTAGACTCCGAAAGCTTTAGCCCTGTACCCAAAAGAGCTCCGTCTGTATAGCATTCGTATTTTACAACCCTAAACCCTAAACCCTAAACCCTAAACCCTAGAGGCTCCAAAGACAGTGCTATTATGGAACTAGGCTCCCCAAAGCCACAATAAGGATGGCCTTGTTGGGGCCCAATTAGGGTTTAGGGTTTAGGGTTTAGGGTTTAGGGTTTAGGGTTTAGGGTTTAGGGTTTAGGGTTTGGATTTAGGGTTTAGGGTTTAGGGTGGAGGTCTTTATGGAGCCTCTGGGAAGGGTTCCTTTACCTCAGGGGATCTACTAAGGGTCAAAGTATCTACTTGGTACAAAGAAAATGTTTCTTCGCTGGTGTTACAAAGGTTCCTAAACCCTAAACCCCAAAACCTACAAGCCCTACACCCTAAGACATCCGCTCGCGTTGCCCCGGATCTCGTGGGTTCTTTGCTTACCGAAAGCGGCCTCTGTAGTAGCAGTAGTAGTTGTGGTCGTCGTCGTAGTCGTAGAGGTAGTGGGAGTGGTAGTAGGAGTAGTAGGAGTAGTAGTCGTCGTCGCCGTCGTAGTATTAG